TGCTGCTTTATAAATGGGCATCTGTGTGGATCCTGTATCATACACAAGACAAAAGTATAAGAAGTCAAGTGTTCGCATTTGTGTGTGCAAATCCAAGCTATATTGCAGTTTTTTGGCATGTATCTTATTCTATTTTGTAATTTAAGTCAAAGTCATACTAACATCTTTCCAATTAAACTTGTTATATACCATTACTCTACTAAGGAATTATGTTCTCAAACTCACTATCTATCATAACCATTATACTCTTAGTTTCCCAAATAAAATGAAATGTGTTTTCTTAACATGACTGAAAGTGTATTGATTTCTGATTTTCCAGTTCAAGTCTGAGTTTGATGCTATTTGGGGAAGGGGGGCACAAGCGGATATTTCCATCCATACATCCATCCATACATCCATCGTCAACCACCTATCCTGCGCACAGGGTCGCGAGGAAGCTGATATTTGTCCCTCTCAAATCACCCTCTTGTGATTCTTTATGCACAGGGGGAAAGTACAGGGCAGATGTCATAAGCACAATAAAATGTCTGCTTCCAGTGTGGTTTTGCGGCCCTTATGATAGAAATTTGACAATTATAAATGAGTTTTGTGTTCCCTGCATCTGTGTGGGATGTGGGGTAGAGAGTAGAAGCTTATGAGCTCTGACATGCAAATTGCAACAGTGATGGCAAAGAGGAAGACTCAAGAGAGCGAGAAATCCCCCCCCCCCCCAAAAAAAGAATTTGTATTCACTCTGCTGCTACTGTCTCACATTTGTGTCTGCATGCAATATATACTGTCACAGACAGACAGACAGTTTTTTTTCTGTTTGTTTACTGAGGATTAAGGTGGTATTTCTGCTTAGCTGGGGATGTATCTGGGTGGACAAGGTCAGCGACCCTGCGAGGAGGTCAGGTATCTAAGAGACATGAATCTAAGACTTCATGACAGGCCAGAACGAGGAGAGGAGTCTGATGTGGTTAGAATTAGCGACAGACAGTCTCTGCATTTTAATCTTACCCACAAATATTCAGGTTTGCACAGTGTGTGTTGTCTTGTGTCATTTCAGGAAAACTACAGGCAGTGTTGCTTAGATTTGAAGGCCTTTTATTGTCTCAGTTGTTGCATTTGCTGTGGTGCCCTCTGTACAGCCTAATCACAGTCCCCTAGTTATTTTAAAATGGGTTTTGGCTCTGTGAAGATTTCAATATGAGAACATAATTTGTTTAATTGAAGTGTCATGTTAAATAAGTGTTTCCTCACTGCTGGCAAAGTCAAATGGAGGGTGATGTAAGTTTTGAAATGGAAAACGTACTGTAACAGCACTATATCCTTATTTGTCGATGTGATTCTTTATATATAGTGTCATGTTTTCTTTATATTTTCAAATTACTTACATGCACAGAGTGACTCACAAACCTTGTAATATGTATGAATGTCTTCACTGAAATTCAATCGGCAAAAACTGACATACATGTTAAGAGCTACAGAGGTGAAATTCAGCCATCGAGCATGATGGTCGGTGTCTGCGTCTGTACTGAAAGCAATCAGAACGAGTATAAAGCAGGCCTGTCTCTCATGGCCAGAGAGTCTACCTGAGGTTCATCCCTTCCAGAGGATTCTTGTGTGAGCAGCTGTGTGCTCAGCGTGAGCATATCTAAAGGGCCTTGCTCCTGCACCCTGCAGCGATCTTTACCACATGAACGTTGCATGTGCAAGGTCAGAATTCTTTAGTAAAAAGGCTATTTTGTGGGTGTGCACGTGTGCAAACATTTATGTTTCTTTGTGGAGTGCTGAGTGAGTAAAATCATTATTATGTTTAAAAATAGCTGTATGGAACACTTCATTCTTCTACTGGAAGTTATTCTGATTGTTGAAGGAGGGAAGAGCACTTGTTATTCACCTTCACCCCCTCTCAGATCCGGACTGTCAATCTTGTGCCGTGCACGGTTCAGCCACATTGCTGCAGTTGTAATTCTATGTGGATTAAATGTGTTTTCTTGGATATTTTTGTGCAAAAGGAAGGAAGAATCTGTGATGACTGTCAATGAGGTACAGCAACCTCTGAGGCTGATTAACTCATTCCTTTTTAGTACTACTTAATCTTTACCTTCTCTCACCTCCTCTCATGTCCTCTGTCTTTGCACCACTTCTGCTGTCTATTTTCAGAGCCATATGCTCTGTGTATTGTGTGAGCTCAGTTTGCATCACATCTGCATCTTTTTAGTGATTAATTAACTTACTTCCAAAGAATATAACTTTCACATTAGAACTCAAACGATTTTTCAATGAATCGATTGGTCGATAGACACAAAGATAATCAGCATCTGTTTTAATCATCGATGAATCGTTTGAAGAATTTGAGCTTCATAAATGAGACACTTTATTTTACATTTCAATAAACAGAATATATTTTGGGATTTGTTGGTCAGACAAAAAAAGCTATTTGAATATGTTACCTTGTGCTCTAGGAATGTTGACTTTTTATAAACACAACGATTAATCGTGAAAATAAATAGCAGATTAATTGATAATGAAAACAATTGTTAGTTGCAGCCCTATTTAACAAGGACAGTGAAAGGACACTAAATAATAAACTCTACTCCTGAATATTTGACAGATTATTCCCTCAATATATGCATATTAGCCACTTAGTTCATGAAACAAATCCAGTCAGCTTGCTGAGCATCACAGATGAAAAATAACTCTAACCACCGCCAAAAATAAACATAATTTCTCAAGCAGTCAATTATACAACTGAGATTGGTTTATATTATTCATAAACTTTCATTCAAATATGGAGAATAATTAACATTTGAAACACATCATTCATCACATAAACAACAACCAGAGTGGCACCTTGTGTTAATAGTCATCTATATTAGTAGTCATTTGCAAAAGGTCCCTCAAGACCCAAACCCTCTCTGCGAATTGCGAAGCTATTACAACAGAAAATCACCCAAATCGAATTTTAATGCGTAGTAGGCTTATATGATTATTAATCACGGCTCTGTTTCATAATAAAAACTTATTTAATTTATTAATTGCTCCATAATTTATCAATGTCACAAGGGCTAATGAATTACCCAAGATCGCCTGCTGAGGGATGTCATGTAAGTTTTTTCATAGATACATGGTCTGAAGAGGCAGTAAAAGCCCCAATTAATTTCATTATCATTAGCCACAGACCTTTTGGGTTACAATAGGCTGTAGCCCCGCAGCTCACAAAATGCTCCCAGAACAAATACAACACACAAGTGAGTGTTAAGCCTATTATCCCGCACTCTTGTATCTAGCTATGCAACAGCTAAAAAGGCGCTCATCCCACATATTTTAAGTCAGTGTGTGGTCTCTCTTCTTTCTCAGATCTGTTGAAACAGCTCTGTCTGAACTAAATAAATCTCTGTGTGTTTAGTCTTTCACAACCACTGTCTGTTAGACCTCAAATCACCAGGGCCATTACTTTACTCTGAGCACCTGAATAATACCTTAATATGAAACCCACAAGGTCATCCTTGAAGGGATGCCGACACAAACGGCAGCATCAAACAACCACTCAACCTCACTTGAATATTTCCACAGTGTTTTTTTGGAGCATGTTCATTTCCTGGGCCCTGTGATACTCAGCCCAGGGGTTTCCGAGCAGAAGGATGAGGAAGTTTTCTCATGTGAATCAAGAGCAGATTTCTCATTAAAGGCTGCTTTTGAATAAATCTGCAAGCTACATGAAAGAGGAGTGGGTGATCCAAATTTGATTTTAAGGTTACGTAATGATGGAGCTATTCATTAAGACTACAGAAACAGTTCAGGTTTACACATTAAGAGTCACATTAAGAGTTATACTGTAGGTGGGGGAGGGGGGGTCCTTAGTTTTCCTTAGGTAAAATATATACTGAATGTTTTAAGTATTCCTTCATTTTCATTCTGATGAGAAGTTTCACTCATTTCAAAGTTATCTCACCACCTACAGTATAAATTCTGTATTGAATCATATCTGACAATAAGGTGAGAGTCCGCAGAATAAAGAGCGGCACATCTTTGACGTAAAAAAAGTCCATGCTCTGTCTTGGGGATCCTACAGTAGCCTACGTCTTACACATTATCACCACATGAGCATTATGGTGTAACTTTTTGTAGCAAATTATATAATATAATAATAATAACTAATCTGATAAATATGTTGTGTTAGTTCTTTATTTTAAGCCAGATGTGTGGGCTGGTGCAGGGTAAATACACTTTCTTCAGTTTTTTGCAGTATGGTAAGCTGACACGAGCCCTGATGAAATATATTCATTGCGTATATCAGATTTTATTTTTAAATTGTTGTTACAGTGTTTGTTTTGTCGTTTTTATTGCTTTGGCTAAAAGTGGAAGGGCTCTCGTACAGTATGACGCATGTCTACTTTTCTGTAATTGTTTAGATGAAAATTATTACTTATAGGTTGTCTTTTACAAAGTTGCATACATCTCAAGAGATCAAATGATGTAAAATGAATGATAAGTTAAAGGATGTGGCTCCAGATACGCACAGAATGGACCACGCTGATGATGGACACCGGCTGCACGGTGCGCTGCCAGCACGAGAGTCCGCTGGGAATAGTGACAGTGCACCCGCTGTATCTGTTACTGTATCGGTCAAAGTGTTATTTACTTAATAGGCCTAAATATAAATTAGGACAACACAGTCATCAGCACAAATGCATGTGGAAGCAATGAAAAGAGCAGAGCAGGCTAGAATTATCTCTGCATCTCTGCAAGAAACACAAATGACCTGCACGTCAGGCAATTTTTCATTTAGACCAGCATCATCTCAGCTTTCAATTACCGTTTTCACGTGTTCGTCCACACGATATGTGTCTACTTATATTCGCGAGTTTGGAAGTTCTTGGTGCAAATATAGTGCAGACACCGTACACCACATGACGCATGTACAAGGTGTTACATGGATAACAAAGGGTAATTTGGAGCAAGATGCATGAAGACTACTCTGTCACTTTTCCCCACTCCCACTCTTTTCTTACCAAACAAGCGGTTCCATTGAGGAGGAGTAGGATGAAGCCGCGGTTGGGACGCATCATTCCGGCGCGTAAAACCGACAGCTCCCCCTCCCCGGTAGCAAAGACCAAAATTTAAAAAAACTCCAGCACACGGGCTTTTCCTCCTTCAGGAAGAGGTTCTTCCTCCGGCACCAGATCCCTCTCGGCTGACGCACGGTCCCATGTCCAAGGCAGGCTAAAATGCAGTTTCCACAAAGCTAAAAGACGCTGGAAAGCACTTGAGTCCCTCTTTTTTTGTCTTTTGTTTTTTTTCTCTCACCGATCCCGGGTTTGAGTCAAATTAGTTGTGGTATGAGAAATCCATGAATATGCGGTAGGCTGTTATCATCCATGCAAACAAATGGAGAGATCCTAGCTCAGAGTAAAATGGGTTGACTGAGAAGTGGGTAGATCATATCTGGTCATCGGTGCCAGTGGAGATCCTGAGCAGCCTCCTGCAGAAACTGAGCGATGCTGAGACTGGCAAGAGCGAACACACGTTTTAACAGTTTCTACTCCCTCTCCCTCTATGTGTGTGCCTCTCCCCTCTTCTCTCACCACGAATTTCTTTTCTCTCTCTTACCCCCTCCCTCCCTTATCTATAGGCTATCTCTCTCCACCTACCCAGCATTTCCCTCTTAATCTCTCTTCCAGGCACTTTCCCTTTCCAATCCACTCAATTCATTCTGCAAACAATCAAATAAAAGCAATTAAACTAAAAAACTCACACAATAAACATCTGTTCCGCTTTTATTCCCTTACCAACATTTCTCTTGATAAGGGTTATAATAATGCATGTTTTTCAACCCACAACAGCCTGCCTCACTAATCCACAGGCTGCACTGTGGGCATTTCTCATCACAAAGCCTGTCAATAAATATAACAATCATTAGGCTATGGTGGGCGAAAATTATTGATTGGGAAAGACTGGGTTGATTTTTACACCATGCTTGTCACAACAAAAACAACTCCTATGTCATTAAGCGGACGTTTGCAGCTGCAGGAATCTGTCACAAATGCATATTACAGTCAGATTGTTTGTCCTTTCCATAGGCCAGCCAGTGATCCGCAGCCCTTCTGAAGAGTATCGACGCACATGGTGAACACTGATGAAGCAGTAACCGTCACCTCAGTGGGGTATGGTTAATAAAGACTTTCCCCAATAATACACAGTTCATTTGGAGCAGGTTAATGGACTGAAATGTAAGATATCGCTATGCAGATCCCCTGGCTCCCAAAGGAACCACTTCTGCTTTATTAGACTCATAGATGAGCTTTTCTCACTCTGTCCATCTCTGTGTGTTTTTCCACTTGCTGTTCCTGTAGCTCTCTTCTTTCTGACAATCAGAAAAAGGCCTGGTCTGAATCTTTCTTTCACCAGGTCAGAACCTTTTCTATCAGGCTTATTTTGTCTCAGATGAACCCACTTTAAACTCTTTGATCTGGTGTTTTTTTCTGCACCTGCTAATAATTCAAGTGGTGTTATCTGCCTGTGCTGGTGTGATAGAGTTAATTGATCTCAGTTCTGGGGTTAATTGGCTCGAGGGCCTAGAAAGCTGAAGGACCTGACCCCTGAAGGTGTAAGGTCAGACCTGAGAGGTCACCAGAAGACACGGGGCCCTGTCAATCCAAAGTGACTGAGACATCAAAGAGTTTGGGTGCAGGGAAGTCTTCAAGACGACTCCTCTCTTACAGCCATCTGAATGTGCACATATACAGATCCATTGCTCATTATAATGCAGGAGGTGCTGATGAAAGATGGGAATGAGAGCTCATCGACTTAGGAGGTTGCTTGATCTCTCTCTGTCTTTTTTATTAGATTATTTCAAACACTAAATGTGTCTCTGTATAATTCGAGGCAGCCTCTTCAGTTGCCCAGAGTATCAGGGGGCTCTCTGGGAGGGGAAACAACAACCTATAAAGGGAAATCTGCTCCCTGGCCCACAATCTGAAGAAACAGCAACCATAATAAAACGCCTTTTAAAACGGAGCACGTTCATTCATACACACACTTTCACTCCTGCACATAATTACAGGGCCATAACTCAGTCTGTATACTCTCTGGGGAACAGCCAGACAAGCTGCTGCTATTTTTTACTCACTTGGAAAAAAAAGCTGCGTGGATGCTAAGATACCCATCATTTGACACCCAGGATCGACTTATCTTAATGTTGTTTCACAGACGACTCACATCAGCATGACAAATAAGAATGCGTGTTTGTGTATTTCCTTTTTATTTCGCTCTCCTGCCAAACTCCCAACAATTGTGCTCAATCATTGCATTGCTTGACACGTAATCCTATTTCACAGTATAATTCAGTTTGAATGAAGAGCTGCAGGCAACAGACAGCCTGGTGAGATGTCAGAGACCTGGACTGCAGGGTTTATATATGAGTATTGGCTGCCCTCTAGTGTCTTTTGTTTCTTCTGCACATGCAGGATGGAAGCCAAGCTTCAATCGTGGCTGTACTAACAGGTAATGGCGGTCATTTGAGGTCATTTGAAGGGTCAGTTCACCCAATTGTCATTGTACTGTACTTAACTGTGTAAATAATTTTGGTTTTATTTGTCCAGGTTTTGACTGAGATTTTTTCTTCTACCCCATAACAAAGAAAAGGGATTTAGTTTAGTTGAACATTTACATTTAAAAAAAATCCCATTTACATTTAACAGCAGCATCCTTTTCCAGAGACAGTGTCCCTGTTATCCACGGAAAACTCTGTCAACCCTTTTCTTAGTAATGTCTGCCTTGTAGTCCATGAGGTCTCAGGGCTGTCCCACTATGGATAAAGTGTTAAAAGCACAAACACACATGTCACTAACAAGTACTGCTTGCACATGTCTGTCATGTGATGGTATTTGAAAAATGTTAATTTGGTCCAACAGTAGGCTAACTACAGTCTGAGTCTGAAATGTCCACCTTAAACTTTACTGTTCACAAACATGTGTCTGTACAGATATTATATCACATGTGGTGCAGACATAATATCATAAAGACATAAAAAGCGCTGTCCCATCACTTATGCAGTGTTTGGAGGCCTCCCACCCAATGATGACAATGATCAAAATTAAATTAATTCTTAATTTCTGAGTTCTTCTCATATTGCAGATTATATTTAATCGAATTGTTTTTACATTGCCAATCTATATGTGATGCAGATGTGCTTGTTGGACTGCAAGTACCACTGTACATGAATCCAGATGAGGTGATTGAAGCTTGAGCAATAATTCTGAACACTGGAAGCCACTAGAGGGTGCTGTAATCAAAGGAAACCCCTTAGAGTCGATGAGACCACTTATTCTGTGCAGATGGCTCCTGCATGGATATCAATAACCGTCCATCAAACATGGGAGACGGATGTCTGACAATGTGAACAAGGTGTCTTGCCAGTGTATTTTCACTGCAACTGTTTCCTCTATTGTGAGGAGCACATTACCTGAAAGGAAGGAAATCTGTCTATTTCTGGATCGTGTTCCTGGTTTAGGACACCGAGATAGTATCAAGCTTCAAGCCTGGAACATAATTTGAGTCTCTATCTTGTTTCAGTGAGACTAAATCGGATGTTCCTTACCATCTGCATGTTGAAAGTTTTGCATATCACAGTTAAAGTAGGAGGGGGGAATTTACTGTAAAGAAACATATCTACAGCAGCAGTTATTTTCATTTTATGTGTGCCATCTTTTTCCCACTGCTCCCCTTCTGCATCTTAATCTTTGATCTTCAGAGATATAAATATACAAGGCACTCCAAGTTAACAATGGACTGATTGGATCTCCATGAACTGCTCTGTGACACAGCAGTCAGTCATCATGTCCTCTGCTAATCAATGTCTTTTTTGAGAAGAGGACAAGGCACAATAGGAGAACAGGTCAGGAGGGAAGTATGAGTGATGACAGTTGGTGGCACTAGAAACATCGGAGTTTGAAGGATGAAGGGAGGTTTAAATGTGGATTGAGGGATGAAAAGAGGTCTGGATGGATGGAGGATAATCAAATCTCCAGCTCTGGGGAGGTCCTCACAATCAAGATCCTTTAATCCTGCACAGATCCCCCTTTTCGTTTCATTTCCTCCCTCTTCCTTGAGAAAAAGCAAGCATGTAGTTTTCCATTTACTTTCCCATAATCACCAGTTTTCTGTTTAATCATTACGTTTTGAATATGGCTTCTGTATTGTAATGCATCTGTATATTTTCTTTCTCTCATTTTCACTAAAACAGAAGTTGAGTATTCTTCTCTTGCTTTGCCTTGAGATCTGATGTAAACTTTAAATGTACAAACAAGGGTTAATTGAGTTGCAGGAGGGAAGGGATACACATTTGGGACCTGTCAGCTTTATAATTTTCCTTCTTTTTTCCTTATTGAAGAGGAGTGAATTACTTCCAGACCTTGACAAGGAGACTCAGGCAGAGAGGCTGGTTTCATCCAAATGTTCCTCCAAATCTTTTTAGCAATGCTCATGGTGTGCAGGGAAGGATTTTTGGAGCAAAATATCAAATATCAAATATCAACAAGTACATGGGTTATTTTGAAATTTGGTATAAATATTCATGTTCCCCAGAGTATAAAACCATTCCCCTTTACTTTTCATCTGGTGTCACAAACAGATCAACATGTCCCACTTGTCCAGCACTTATGAAAACAATTTATTAACAGATACTTCTAAAACAAAATACTAAAATAATATTCACAGTAGACATCAGCATTCTAATATCCAATAGTTGTTACCATGGATGTAAGCATGCCAATCAATTGTAGACATATTACCATAATATGGTTAGCATTGAGCTTGAATGAGGCTGACAAAGTTTATATTTTTAAGTCAATAAGGATAGACCAATCGGAAGTGTGTAACATATGTAAAGGTTAGCAGCAAAGAAAGACTTTTGTGATTAGACTCTCTAGGTGTGGAGCATCTTCATTAAGTGTAAAACTGAAGAAAGAGATAGGAGAGGATTGCCCAGGAGTCTAGATGCTGGTGAGGTAAAGCCATCAGGTCAACACTCAGCTCCCAGAACACCCTGTATGTCATGGTGTTGGGGAGGTGGACTGAAAGACAGAATAGCAGGATTGCAATATTATTCAAAGAGCAGCATCCAAGGCCATATTGGCTCCAGAAATGCGGAGAGAAAGGTAATAGTTCACATACAATGTACAAGTCTTTTCTAAATGCATGAAAGTTTGACTGTGTGAAAAAGCAGGGGTGACAAAGTAGATTTAAGCAGGAACAAATAACAGACTTGTGTCATTAGTTAAACTAAAACAACTTTCTCATCAACCTCCCTCCTTTAACTTCAGGCTGAATTTTAGATATTTTTTTACTACACTAGTGACTAGAATCTATGACAGACAGGCTTTTTTGTTATTGTTTTTTTGTGTGTAAAGAGCATCACAGCTGGTTTCCTTTATATTTAGTGTCAGAGTTCATGAATTTATAACTCAAAATTTCACTTTACTACTTGTTGTCAGCAGTGCTTTCAGATTGTTAAAACAAATTATAGTTTTGTAATTCTCAGAGAGGATTAGAGAGACTCACAGAATAGT